TCTTCAGCTCAAGGCTAGCGCTCTACCACTTGAGCCACAGCACCACTTCCGGCTTTTTTCTTTTTGCTTATGTGGTGCTGAGGAATGGAACCCAGGGCCTTGAGCATGCAAGGCAAGCGCTCTACCACTGAGCCACCTTCCCAGCCCGAGACTCTTATCTCCAATAAACCACTCAGAAAACTGGAATTGGCACTGTGGCTCCAGCGGTAGAGTACTCCTTGAGCTGAATAGCTGAGGGACAGCACCCAGGCCCAGAGTTTAAGCTCCATGACCAACCGAAAAAAAAAAAAAAGTACCAAGGAAGGGGGTTGGAGGCATCACTCAGTTGGTAGAGTACTAGCCAATGTGTAAAAGTGGCACGTACTGAATCTCAGTCTCTTATCTAAAAAAAAAAAAAATAGAAGAAGGACCTGGGCACTGGTGGCTCAGGCCTATAATCCTAGCAACTCAGGAAACTGAGATCTGAGGATCGTGGTTCCAAGTTAGCCCGGGCAGGAAAGTCCATGAGACTCATCTCCAGTTAACCATCAAAACACCAGAAGTAGATCTGTGCTGTGACCCAAGTTGGCCTTGAGCAAAAGAAGTGCTTTGACAGCACTTGGGCCCTGAGTTCAAATCCCAGAACTCACAAACACACACACACACACATGATTCAGTGGTTGGTTGTGTGCGATTTGCCCTAGGGGCAAGCCAGATTTGAGGATTTGGAGAGAGGATGCTGTTCTAGAGATGAAGTCTACTTAGGTTATCTGACATGGTTGATCATCTTTTTCAGGGCAATATCTATTATGTCTTATCTGACTAGATTAGTAATGCAAATCACTCTGTGTTTATTAGCTCCTGCTTTACATAATGTTCTTAGTACCTCCTATGTGGCAGCTAATAGATATACCAGAGTGAATAAAACAGCCAGGGGCTAGAGGTGTGGCTCAAGTGGTAGAGTGCTTGCCTAATAAGCATGAGACTCTGAGTTCAGTCCCAAGTACCACTAAAGAAAAACTCAAACTAAACAAAATCAAAACATTCAAAACAAAACAAAAATGAAACACACACACACACACACACACACACACACACACACAGGTGTGTGCGCATGCGTGCTGGGTACCAGTGTTTCATGCCTGTAATCCTAGCTCCTCAGGAGCCTAAGATATGAGTATCACAGTTCAAAGATAGCCCAGGCAGGAAATTCTGCAAGACTCTCATCTCCAATAAATTACCCAAAACTCCAGAGGTAGTAGAGCTGTGGCTCAAGTTGTAAAGTGACAGCCAAGAAGCTCAAGGACAGTGCCTATGTTCCAAGTTCAAGTCCCAGGGCCAGCAAAAAACAAAACAAAACAAAATAACGCAAACCAAACAAACAAACCCGTTGGGGCTGGGAAAGTGGCTCAGTGGTAGAGTGCTTGCCTTGCATGCCTGAGGCCCTGGGTTCGATTCCTCAGCACCACATAAGCAAAAAGAAAAAAGCCAGAAGTGGCACTATGGCTCAAGTGGTAGAGCGCTAGCCTTGAGCTGAAGGGCTGAGGGACAGCGCCCGAGTCTAGAGTTCAGGCCCCATGACCGGACCCCCCCAAAAATAAAATAAAATAAAGGAAGAGAGAAATGATATAACTTGGACCCTCAGTGCCTCTATATCTTTTCTAGTACTAGAGGCAGAAAAGGTCAAATGAGGGAAGTCTGTCTTCTTGAGTCAAGATGCCTCTCCAGGCTCCTAGTGAGAAGACAAGGTGTCCATTCTCCTCAACCTTTCTAATAGCTGGAGAATCCCCATCCCGACCCTTACCTGCGTCAGCCAGTGGTAGCCCACATAGGTACAGAACGAGGAGGAATAAGACTGCCATGGGAAGAGCCTGCTAAGCTCCCTGTGCTTAAAGACCTGGTGTTCTCAGGGAGGGAGGAAGCACAGCACAGATAAAGGCCCACACTCCCCAGCCTAGAGTCACGTGGGCCTCCGGAGGGGATGGAGTGCTGGGGTGATAAAACTCAGTGGCTTGTCTACTGGGGAAAAAAAGTGACCAATATTGTTCTGTCCTGAGGGCAGGGAAGGACCTGGTCCAGGTTGTTCTTGTGTAGAAAGGTGTGGCTTTATACAATTAAGAACATGCAAAGTCAGCACCCAGGCCCTGAGTTCAAGCCCCACAACTGACCAAAAAAAAAAAAAAAAGGTAAAACAAAGCCAGGCACCAGTGGCTCATATCTCTCTCTAATACTGGCTACTCAGGAGGTTGAGATCTGAGGATCAAGGGTCAAACCATCCCAGGGAGGAAAATCCTTGAGACTCTTATCTCCAATTACAAAACTGGAAGCCTCAAAGTGGTAGAGTGCTAGCCTTGAGTTAAAAGAGCTCAGGGACAGCTTGCAGGCTCTGAGTTCAAGCCCCACAACTGACCAAAAAAAAAAAGGGGGGGCTGGGAAGGTGGCTCAGTGGTAGAGCGCTTGCCTTGCATGCATGAGGCCCTGGGTTCGATTCCTCAGCACCACATAAGCAGGAAAAAAAAAAGCTGGAAGTGGTGCTATGGCTCAAGTGGTAGAGCACTAGCCTTGAGGTGAAGAGCTGAGGGACAGCGCCCAGAGTTCAGGCCCCACAACTGGATCCCTCCCCCCAAAAAAAACAAAAGTAAAACAAAACCTCTATATGTTAAGACATAAGATTACTATCTTGGTCAAGGTCCTTTATGCTGTGTAATCAATGTTCTAAATTTGCTATTTCTCTAACTGTATTGTCAAAATTCATAGAACTCATCAACTTTATAGACTATGATAAAGAAAATTTGCCTCATGAAGGTTAGAATGTGTTTGTAACTTTAAGTATCACTATCCCAATACTGTCCTGCTAGTCCTGGGGCTTGAATTCGAGGCCTAGGTACTGTCCCTGAGCTCCTTTACATCAAGACTAGCACACTACCACTTGAGCCATAGCTCTACTTCCAGCTTTTTCTGTGATTAATTGGAGATAAGGGTCTCTGGTGCTTGGCTTTTCAGTCTTCTTTTATAAAACTCTTGCACTTCTTAGTCAGGTGCTGATGGCGCACGCCTGTAATCCTACCTGCTCAGGAGGCTGTAATCTGAGGAATAGGGTTCAAAGCCAGCCGGAGCTGGAAAGTCCATGGGATTGAGGTATCCAATTACACACACACACACACACTCACACACACTCACACACAATGCACTAGCCTCGAGCTGATTCAAACCCAAGACCAGCAAAAGAAAAATTTTAAAATCTTGCACTTAAAAAAAAAATCAGAGATCTCTAAAGGCCTTCTCTTTTGTAGCTGCTTCTAATCTTAGCATTTTCACTATCATTCCAGAATGTGCTGATATTAAGGGCTTAAAAAAAAAAAAACGACTGGACCAAAAAAAAAAAAAAACCACGTCACTGTGTCCTGCTAATTTTTCTAACTCTCCACGTTCCAAACACCGAGTTTCTGACCATTGCTGTACCCGTAGCTCCAACTGCACGAAAATCCTCCTTTAAGAAGCGTAGACAGTGTCTCCGGGGGCGCGAGGCGGAGCCGGTACGTGTTGATGTCACTGGCACGCAACACCTCCGAGCCAGGGGAGGGCGGGGCCAGGAAAGTGGGGGGGACCTGCTGCTGGAAGAGCAGCGGCCCTACCCGGGGCCATGGCGAAGCTGCTGAGCTGTGTCCTAGGCCCCCGGCTCTACAAAATCTATCGGGAGAGGGACTCCGAACGGTCACCGTCCAGCGTCCCTGAAACTCCAACTTCAGTCACTAACTCCCATTCCAGCTCCTGGGTGAGTCGGGTTCCCCCCCTGGTTAAGAACATGGTACGGTCCAAACCTTTTACGGCCTTTGCTCTCCAGAAGCGCCCATTATTGGAAATCAGGGGAGACCGATTGTCAAGCCGGTTGTCTGAAAAGTCTGCGTTGTTTGTTTCCTGGGTTCAAGTCACGCCTGTGGTCTGACCGCCTCCTCTCTTCACTTCCGTTGGAGCACCTCCTTCTCATTCCACCAGTGCTTGCTCGTTCCTTGTCGTGTACCCCCCACCCTGTCGGTCATGGTTCATACCGGTCCCCATTGAGTCTGAAGTCCTGTAAGAGACCCCACAGGGTGTAGGGAACCGGTGGATTTTGCCGTCATACTTCCTAGTACCTTGCTTTTCTCCTAGTTCAGTGTATCTTCCTTTTAATTATCTTGAATATCAAAATGACTTCTGCACAGCATGTATCCCCTGACCCTCACTCCCCAAATCTAGTCTGGACACCCCAGGGTTATTGCATTCCCGGAAACAGTGGGTGGTGATAGCCTGTTCACCTAAACATTCTCTTCCTTTTTACTGGTAGTTTCAAATTAGATATAATAACCTCTACAAACTGCCCACCCCTAGCCATATTCTTTCTGATTAACCTACTCATTTCGATTGCTCTGCTTCAGCATTGTCATGGAAGCTTTCTTCCCTAACCCTTCTCTCCATGTGCACACGCCCACAACTGGGCCAGAGTCACCCAGTGCTGCTTTCACTTTTCCTTCCAAGTCCAGCACCCTGTTTGTTCTCATGGTTAGGGATGGGAAATCAGGTTCAGAGTCAAGGTAGGAAAGAGAGGTTTCTGTGGAGGCCAGAGATATCCCATGCGAGAGAGCCAAGGAGGCTAGAACCAGAGGACCAACACTAGAGCTTTAGAAAGTGATGGGGAAGGGCTAGTCAATCAATGGGCAGGGTCCTAACGGACCATCTGTGTTGGCAGGATACATACTATCAGCCGCGTGCCCTGGAGAAACATGCTGACAGCATCCTGGCACTGGTAAGTCTTCCCCAGCATCTGCAAGTCACTGCATCTTTTCAGACCCAGCTGCCCTCTTGAGCTTAACCCTCCCAGCCTGGGAGAATATAGCACCCCTGGGAGGGTGAGGGATGCTAGGGGTTCTGAAGTAGACCTTCCCAACACACACCACACACATGCACACACAACATGCTTGGTACTCCCCTTTGGTATGTATGCAGCCTAACTTTCTCTGGGGCAGCCTGAGTCCCATGGAAAACATGTTTACTCTTGGGACCATCTGCAGGTGCTAAGTCCTGTAGTCCCCAGTGACCTGTCCTCCCTGGCAACTAACCTCTTTGGCTGCAGAGACAGCTGTTCTCTCTGGCAGAGTTCCTATGGTGACGTTCATGCATCTCTTGGGGACCAGGCCAGGGGCTAGCCTGAGCAGGGCCAATTGAAAAGGCTTGTTTAACTTGCATAGACAGAGAGACTGGGCCTGTAAATGTAATGGAATTATGTCCAGAGATGATTTGAAGAATAAAATAGAACTTGCACCCATTTTTTCCAGCCTCTGTTATATTCCGATACATTATTTTTGAAAAATACCTGAGTACCTGCTGTGTGTGTCATGTCATGCACACGGTAGAACTTAATGTGATATTCCTCAGGTCATTCACCTTGCTCAGAGCCTAGGCCTGGAAATGGCGGACTGGTGTGTATGTGTGTATTGATTGCCTGTCTCTGTCTCTGCTGCAGGCTTCAGTCTTCTGGTCCATCTCTTATTACTCCTCTCCCTTCGCCTTCTTCTACTTGTACAGGAAAGGTCAGTGTGTTTCAAAGGTGGTGGGGCAGAAGTGGGCATGTTGTCGCAGATGAGCCAAACCTCCCCATAAAGAGAATGGGAGATCTGAGTATGGCTTGGCTTTCTCCTTTCCCCAGGCATTTCCTCTGAGGGTGGGAAAACTCCAACGAGAGGGTTTAGGATGGAGGTTGGGGCCAAGCTGGGGAAGAAAAGCTGAGAAGTGCTGTGGAGAGAATCTCATATCGTCTGTCTCTCCTCCCAGGTTACTTGAGTTTGTCCAAAGTGGTGCCGTTTTCTCACTACGCTGGGACATTGCTGCTGCTACTGGCAGGTGTAGCCTGTCTCCGAGGTAGGTGGAGAGGAATCCTGGTTTGGATCTGTCCATTGCTGTGCAAATATTATTTGTCTGTTTGTTTGTTTGTTTTTGCTGGTCATGGGGCCTGAACTCTGGGCCTGGGCACTGTCCCTCAGCAATTCAGCTCAAGGCTAGTGCTCTACCACTTTGAGCCACAGTGCCACGTCCAGCTTTTTCTGCTTATGTGGTGCTGAGGAATTGAACCCAGGGCTTCATGCATGCAAGGCAAGCACTCTACCACTGAGCTACTTTCCCAGCCCCTGTGCAGATATTATTTTCTGCAAATATAGTTTGAAGCTTAATCAGTGGTGACTGATGTAAGGCATGATTTTTTCCTTGAAGGGCTTAGTTAAAAAATAATTAATAAAAACAGTGATGTAGCCAGGTGCTTTTGGCTTATCCTAGCTACACAGGAGGTAGCTATCCAAGGCAGAAAAGTTGGTGAGACTCCTTATCTTCAGTTAACCGTCAGAAAACCAGAAGTGGCACTATGGCTTAAAGTAGTAGAGTGCTAGCCTTGAGCACACCCCACACCCCACTCAGAGCTCAGGGAAAGCACCCAGCCCCTGAGCTCAAGCTCCATGACTGACAAAATAAAATAACATGGGCTGGGAAGGTGGCTCAGTGGTAGAGCGCTTGCCTTGCAAGCCTGAGTCCCTGGGTTCAATTCCTCAGCACCACATAAGCAAAAGAAAAAAAAAGCCAGAAGTGGTGCTGTGGCTCAAGTGGTAGAGCGCTAGCCTTGAGCTGAAGAGCTGAGTGACAGCGCCCAGGCCCAGAGTTCAAGCCTCACGACCCGACCCCCAAAAAAAATAAATAAAATAAAATAACATAAAATTAATAATGAGTAAAAAATAATTAATAAAATGCCATGAATATGCCCCACAATAATTCCATGAACATATGTATGTATTTACACTAGAGAAATTCCCACACATGCATAAATAATATATAGATACAAAAATACAGCATACAGCCGGGTGCCTGT